AGTGTGCAGCCACCGCCTCTCTGGGCAACCTGGGCCAGCATCTCACCACCCTCCACGGGTTGTGGAGCCCACGAGAGGCCCTGGCTGTGGCAGGGAAGCAAAATATAGATGCGCTGTGCAACTTTTCATCAGCCTGGGGCAGGCAGCCCTTGGTGAAGCACCCGTGGGTGGTGGGGCCAGGCTCTGGCAGCCTTACCTTCCCTCTTCATGCCCATGGCCAGACACTTCTGGTAGCGGCAGTACTGGCAGCGGTTGCGCTGGCGCTTGTCGATCAGGCAGTCCTTGTTGTCCCTGCACGTGTAGGTCAGGTCCTTCCGCACCGTGCGTTTGAAGAAGCCTTTGCAGCCCTCGCAGCTGTAAACCCCATAATGTTTTCCTGCCAGGGGACACACAGATGGGGTTAAAAGCAGCCACTGAGTGTCCCGGGTGCTGCCCGCTCCCCCCTGTTCGCTCACCCGCATCACAAAGATCACCCGCTTTCCCCAAGGGCTCCCCCAGCCCTGCCTGGGGCAGGCAGAGGTTTCTCAGAGCTGAGAGAAGGCGCTGCCCGCTGCCCCCTGTTCGCTCGCCCGCACCACAAAGATCACCCGCTTTCCCCAGGGGCTCCCCCAGCCCTGCCTGGGGCAAGCAGAGGTTTCTCAGAGCTGAGAGAAGGAGAAGTGGCTTCAGCTTGACTTGGCCCATCAAATCAGGACATCCTCCATGGGCTATGACCTCCCCCAGCCAGGCAAAGCCCTCGCTGGTTCCTAGCGAGGTGTCAGGGAAAGGGCAGTACAGCACTGGAACAGGGACCCCCCGTTACACCCATGACCCCCCGCCCCTGCCCCCCCCACCAGAGCCCCAACCCAGCCTGCTCTGCACCACCTCTCAACCTCCTCCTCCAGGCCTGGAGGTGCCCCTAAGGACCTCCTGAATCCCATGAGCTGGAGCAGCAGGAGAATAAAGGGAATTAGCACATCTTTATCTCCCCGGAGCACAGAGGCTCCATGGGAAGCACATCTCTTTACCTGGTGCTATGTGACAATAGCACTGTGGATCAAAGGATGAGAAGAGAGAGGGACACTCACTAATGCCTGGACTCCAGAGGTGCTGTGGAGGTAACACCACTGCTGAGCAGAGACCTGGGATCTCCTGGCTTGGCTCAGAGCCTGTCCCAGACCAGGCTGGGGGAGGACGGTCAATAAAGGACTTTTCATCCCCTCCTCTGAGAGCACGGGTGGCCTCCCTCCCTCCCCACTGTGATGCAAGGAGCCCTGCAAACCCTCACCAGGCTCTCCTAGGGCACCCACAGCCCCAGCACGCTGCCCTGGGCCCTCCTGGGGCAGGCACCAGCCTCACCTGAAGATCTGTCCCCACAGATGGCACATATGTGCTTGGTGAAGGAGGCCATCGTTCCTGAGGGGTGTGCTGGCACTTTGAGGACTCCGTTGAGCCCCAGGGGTGGCTTAATGTCTTCTGAGCTGCTGACGGGGTTCATGGGCGAGTTGAGCTGTCGAAACAGAAGCAGAGTGCTCAGTGGGGAGCCAGGGCACGTGGGCGTGGGGCTGAGCCAGCCCCACAGCAGGGCTTGCCCATGCCCTCAGCTGTGGGGCAGGAGGGCCAAGCAGGGACAAGTACTGCCTAAACCCAAAGCTTTGAAGTTTTTTCCCAAAACTGACCCAAGAGGAGAATGAGACAAGCTCCCAGCAACCCTGCCCAGCCTGGGCAGGTCTAGGGGTGCAGGGAGGTGCCAGGCTTGGCCAGCTGGGGATGCAGCACCAGGCAGGATTGCTGTAGTCCCAGGGACCAGCCTGCCAGGGACTGTCACGGAGCCTCTGTTCTTGCCAACCTCTAAATCCAGGTTGGCTACGCAGGATTTGTGCTTCTGCTTGTCGTGTTTCTCTTCTCTAATAGAGAGAGTCAGCAATTGCACTTGTCACAAATTAATTCAGGGAAGTCCCAGGGCTTGTGATCTGTCAATTAGAGCAGTGCAGCCGTTCCTCTGGCTTTAAAGTCTCCTGGCTGGTGGGGAATATTTGGCAGGCAGATGACTAATAACCGTAGAACAGAGCAAGGTAAACCCACCCTGGAGAAACAGGATGGATCTGCCTCCCTCTCCCTCCCTGCCTGTGCCAGCTGATGAATGAAAGGCAGCCAGGACAGTGCCACAGAGACAGGAGGGACAAGCAAGTCCCCAGGCAGGAGCATCTCTCTTTGGGATCTGTGGGTCCCCAGGTAGAGCCTCTCAGTGCCACACCATGAGCAGGGGCTGCTGGCACTGCTGTACCACATCCCTACAAGGATTCAGGGTTATCAGCTCCAGTAATTTCCCCAGTGCAGTTTTTGGGAAACTTTTTGGGAAATTTTGGGGAAATTTGTTGGGAAATTTTCAGGGGGGACACTGCAAGCACCCCAAGGTTCCCACCCCACCCCAGTGTGTGCCACACCAGCAGCACGTGCGGGCAGGGAGGAGACTGAATCCTGTCCCCTCCTAGCAAGAAGAGCTTTATTCCTCCTCCCAGCCAAAAAAACACCCCAAACCCCTTCTCTGGTCCCCCCAGGCGCCCTCCCAAAGAGCACTGTGCAAAGGCAGGGAGGCTCTGGAAAATCCTAATCCTGTGGCTGATCTCTCCCCGAGCTGCTGCCAGCGATGCCTGGGGGCACTGAGCCAGTGCTGCCCTTCCAACCCTCTGAGAAGTCCCTCCCCTTTGGCTCTTACCAAAAATCTGGCTTTTTTTCCCCATTTTCCCAAAATTTTGAGGTGAGAGGGTTTAAAAGTGTGTTAAACCCCAATAAGCAGCAAAGTTACTGGGTCCAGCCTCCCAGTCCAGCTGGGACCTTGCTGATCCCTGCAAACTACCCCACAGCTTCCACCCAGCTCCTGCCCCACACACCCCAGCTCAGCACCACTACCCCCTCCTCAGGGGGGCCTGGGGGCTCCTGGGGTGCTGGGATCCAGTCTCAGGACACTGCCTCACCCCCTGATTTTGGGGCTGTGCTTGGAAACTGTGCAAGGTCCTGGGAAGTTCTGGAGGGAACGTGCTGGGAGCACACTGAGCATCCTCTGGTGCCGGCACCGAGCGCTGCTGGCTCCTCACCTCTGCTGGACCAAACAGGAGAGGGATGGTGCTCCAGCTTTTGGGAATCTGCTGGCTGCTTCCCACCCCGGTGGCAGCAGGAGCCGGGGGGTGGCTGGGAACCACCCTGTGGGACCCTCCACCCCTCACACGCCCCATGCCCTTCTGCTCCGTTGGCTTTCCAGAGGCGACGAGGCGTGGCCTGATGGCAAGTGGCATCTGCCATCTGATTCAAACCACCTTCCATCAGTGCCATCCCCGCCTGGCGACGGGGCCACACGCCTCATTACCCCCGGGTGCAGTGCAGTGTGGGGGGGTGAGCCCTGCTCTCAGCATCCCCCCTCCTCCTCCTCCTCCTCCTCCTCCTCTTCTCGCCGTGCTCCTCCGTGGGCCCAGGTAGGTGCCTCTGCCCATCACAGGGAGGGGGACAAGGATGTAATGAGCCCAGACAGGGAACAGATGGCAGGAGCCATTAGGCTGAAGACCTCCTAAGTCATCACCTCCAGGAAAACCACCTCAGACACCACGCCGAGGCGGCTGGAGCTTGCTCCCTGGCACCATCCCACCACGCTCTCAGTTCCCCTTTCTGCTCTGGGGCTGTGCTTTATTTCGGTTCCCCTGGCTCCTATAAAGCAAAATGTGCCTCAGAGTGGATGCTGAGGGTGCTGGGGGTGTGTTGCCTGTTCCCCATTTCCTCCCTGGCTCGTGGCTCACCCCTGCCTTGCTTCACATCCCCCTTTCCCACTCCTTCCCCACCATCCTGGCGCTCTCACTGCTAATTCTGCCCTGGCCACCCATTCCCAGGCACTGTTTCAGTTCCCCTTCCCTTGGCCATGGGATGGGAGGTGGTGGCATGTCCACCTCACTCATCCTCCCTCCTCGGGGAGCAGGATCCAGCCAGGCCCAGCTCTGCCAGGCTGTGGGTCCCCACACACCTACGGGGGGTCACATCCTGCACTGGAGAAGCCCACCAAAAGGCAAACAAAGCCGCTCCCTCTCCAGCCAGCACAGGGATGCTGAGTCCTGCCGGAGCCCCCCGGGGGTCCCCAGGGACGGGACTCAGCACAGCACAGCCCTCCCCAGCCCCAGGGAGAAAAATCAGTTATCTCTGGAAATAAATCAGGCCAATATTTAAAAATAAAGGTGCCGGCAGGTGCTCGACTCCCAGAGAGGGCCTGGACTAAATAAACCCGCAGCGAGTGGCAGGTGGTGGCCAATGCCTTAATCTGCCCTTTTACTAAACATA